CAAAATGCAACTACTGAAGTATTATTATTATTATTATTATTATTATTATTATTATTATTATTATTATTATTATTATTATTATTATTATTATTATTATTGTAAGTGACTTGTTTAGCCTGCATAATTAACTTGTAAGCCGCCCAGAGAGTGCCTGAAGTGCTATGGAGCAGGTATATAAGCAGGACAGTTTGCTTTTCATTTGTTTCCAGTAACCCAAACAATGCTAGCCAAAAGAACTCTGGAACCTAAATAGAGTATAAGCATTCAGAATCAATATTGTTAATTGGATGAGAGTATGACTACACACAGATGTCTACCACACATACAGAAGCATGTACCCAATCCTTATATGAGTCAGGATAACTTCCTTCAGTTTCCGAATCATACATCTGCCATAGCTGAAATACCGGTTTGGCCATATGTACGTGGCAACCTATTTTAGGTTAAATTTACCATGAACACCTTTAGGTAAACAAAGTTGTCCTATTTAGATACAAACATATTATGTGACATAATAACAGTTGTATGTAAAAGTTACTGTACACAGGCATGACGTGGCTTTCTGCCCAGCTAAGTACCTGACATCTTTTGCTGACCTTTTCAAAACCTTCCATGCTCTTCTCCCTGACTTCTAATCCTTTTTTCAAAATTTAATATTAAAACTAAAATACAAATTCAATAACTACATACACATTGGATTTTCCCCACCTATGCCACCTTCACCCTTGAGACTAGGTGACCAGAAGTATCAATTTATACCCCTTGTCATCCCGTATCTCTCCAAAAATACATTGATTTTTTTGCTGGCATATAGCCTTTCCCCCTCAAAAAAACATGCTCCAAATATGAATTCCATACATCTTTGAAATCATTAGACTTCATCATTCCTATTCTTGTTTTCTTTTCATGTTAACTTATCATTAATTGCTAATCTCCACATTTCTTTACACCAGTCTTCAAGATTAATTTGTGTCACTTTTCCAGTTCTTTGCAAATATTAATCTTGCTACTGTAACCATTATAACAATTAACTCTTTCTGTTCTTTTTTTAAAGATGATCATTCTTAATTATATTTAGGTGGGCAATGATTGGTGATATCCATATATCATACCCAATAATTTCTCTAATTTCCTTAAAAACCCGTGCCCATTCTTTCTTTCTTACTTCACATGTCCACCACATATGCATATAGGTCCCTTTTTCCTTTTTCCATCTCCAGCATTGAGATGGTGCTTTTATTTATTATATTCAGTCTTATTGGAGTAAAGTACCATCTCCATGCTACCTTATAACAATTTTCTTTTACCTTTATAAACATATTCTTCATTATTCTTCGTGACCATATCATGTTCCAAGCCTCTCCTTTAATCTCTTCCTCAAAGTCCTCCTGCCACTGGTTTTTCATCATCGCTTGTTCGAATCCAGAATGTACTAAAATCTTATAAATTACACTAACCGTTCTCTGATTTCATATTCAAATATAATCCAGCTTGTGATACTTGTTCCTTATAACTCTACCAGTCTGAAGATGGCCTGCTCACTTCCGT